GCTGCCTCTGCCAATACAGGCGGGGAGAGCAGCGGGGAGGGAAAGGGACGCAGACCACTGCAGCCAGCATCAGCGGGGAGGAGAACGGAGGAGCAGAGTGGCGGCAACTAATCATAAATCAACTAATCAATTATGAGAATCGTTGCCAACTATTCTCATTATCGATTATAATTGATTTTAATCGATTAGTTGTTGCAGCCCTACTTCTCATAGTGGTAATCAAGGGCAGAATATCTGTCTTATTATCAGGAGTGAAAGAGAGTAAGAAAACAAGGATCTTTGTAAAATCCTTAAAGTTCTAAACCCAAGAACACAGGCATCATGGGAATTCTGAAACCGATTATCTGTATAAATCCGCCTCCAACAATCATGCAAAGTGCTAGTGACCTAGGAGGTTGGACGCCTTTTCTTCAACTCTGCTGAAACAGTCTGACTATATTTATTTTTTCGTAACTTTCATCAAGACTTCATAAATGGTGCTTAAGCTAGTCTATACACAGCAGCAGTCCACATCTGCATATCCTTAGCAATACCTTTGTAGACTGTACCCTGAGTTTGTGAGTACACAAGGCCTTGTCTCAATGCAGGTGTAGTTTTCTGCTACACAGTGCAATATGTTTTATCAAAGACCCAGGACAGTCACGCTGCAACAAGTTATCTCAGCCCATACTCCACTAATGCTTCTTGGGACAATTTCTTTGTTTCCCCAGAAGGAACCAATTACTGTAACATGGTCTTGGGACCCCTATTAATATAGGGTTATACTTGGCAGTCTTCTATAACTTTGCCACCTGATTAGTCCACAATTAATAGAACAATTTGCTTGCAGAGGTTCTAAGCACGTTTCCACATCATTCGTAGAAGAGTCTTATTTCTTGGCCTACCATTCACATTCCCTAGGTGGAGACCTTAACATGTTCCTGAGACCCCTATTACCATCTCTGATTCAGGGTCCTCACACTCTACTGCCGAAGAGACTAGTTTAGCAGATTCCTTATGACTCAGATTTACAAGGAGTTGTTTCTAATCTCATTGATGCAGTACATTCTACCCTGCATTTGGAGGAGCAGCCTGCACTGTTACAGTTGCAATGACCTTTCCAATACACAGTATTTAAAACATTACTCTATGAGGTCTGGAAACAACCTATAGAATCATCGATCACTCCTGACAATGTAAAGGGGTTTCTTTCCTTTGAAATGGAAATGTATTGCTAAAGTGGACTCTGACCACCATAGACACTCCAGTCCATCCACCTTATCAAGCATACCAACAAACAGGCTGATGATGTTCTTCCCTTTATGAATTTCATTTACAGACATTTAAATTCCCTACTTAGGTCTCAGTTTGAATTAACTGAAGTGACTCTCTTTCCCCTGTTGGTGGTGACAGATTTGTGAATCCATGTCGCTGTAAATCAAATCCCTCAAAGGGTTACCCCTCCTTAAGAGAACTATGAGGAAAAACACTTACCCCATAGTTCTCTTTTAATTTTCCTGAGAAACCCTAAATTGGTAATTCATTTATTGATGTAGTTGGGAGATTTTGCTTCTGTCCTGTTCTACCTCATTAGATTAAGAGTATAATCACTGGGCTATCACCCATACAATCCTCTACAGTCATGAACTGTTTTTACTGCTTCAGCTGATGATGATGAGATTGGAGTAGCTTGTGCTGATAAATCCATGCAGCATTTCTGCAGTATAGAATATTAGTATGTTGGGGTGTTGAACAACATAGTATAAAAGTAGCTCCACATTTTAAAGCAGTGATGGTTTGCAGACAATGTTATATAGTATTGGAGATGTAGCAATTGGGTTTTTAGAATTGTCTTTTTTATTTTTATCTACAAGGGACCAAACCGAAACTTACTGCTCAATGGGAAATCCTACCCAGCAAAGGTCAGATTAATCCGAGGAGGCTGCTTGCCTCCAGTCAAGAGGAGGCAGATGAACTGGATTGATGCTCCTGATGATGTTTTTTATATGGCAACAGAGGAAACAAGGTAAGTTCAGTTGTAGTGTACAATAGTCCTGATGATCTCTATATTCTCTTGGCTTCTCTTGTTAGTTTACCATATTGCAATGATGTACATATTAAAGGGCCAATTGTATAAAGGTTACATTTTGTTTTAATTCTGCTTTGGCCAAAGGAAAGATATTGTAAGTACATAACCTCTTAAATAGAACAGAAATCTTGATATGAACTGTGGCAGAGGGAAGATCTCACAAATGACAATATAGTAGTTGAGGAATAAGGTAAAGAATGGTATTTAGTAAGTATGTCATGTCCATACTGGTGTATTATAGTAAAAAAGACACTAACAATACCGAATTCCTGGGTCAGGAGTCCCTGTGGAGTAGGCCAACTAGACATCTATTTGTTGAACAGAGTTCCCAGACTGTTATGAAACCATAACATGATTTCAAGAAAGTACAGGGGAAGAGCCCAGGATATTAGTTTATCTGCTGCTGGACTAGTGTAGCCATATTTGGGTTGTCTCTTTAGTGTTTTAAATATATTTTGTACCACTGTATGTTACCAATAACTTATAGGCATTAAGGGCTTGTTCACACCAGAGCGGTAGCTGCTGGAACGCACCACAAATGCTCACAAAACATCCCCATGCGTTCTGATGCAGGAGGGGGTGTGACTGTGCATTGAAGTCAATGGCACCTCAGCCACGCCCCCCTGTTCCACTACAAACGCAAAAAATAGAGCATGCAGCATTTTTTGCAGGCAATGTTTTGCCACGCGTCCGATCGCACTGCGGACGGGGGGGCGTGACTGCGGTGCTATTGACTTTAATGCGTTCTCTCTTTAACCATTATGACTTATTCTGGAATGACTTGGCCCTGAACCAACATGCACTGGAATGTGGTCTTGCCACTACACAGGTTTAACAGAGATACTGCCTGTGCATCGGTCCCACCCCCTCAATGTTTGTGTATGGGTCAGTTTTTGTATTGCTTTGAGCAGGCCATCATATCTTTCAATGAGTGTGGATGCCTGTTGGTAGAAGGGTAAATGGTACACCCAATTAACTCCATTATCCTTAGCCAACTCTTTTATTTTGGCACCAGTGAAATAGAAACCGTTGTCAGACTGAACCTCTATGGGCAAACCATAGTACTCTTGAAGCATTTTCAGTAACTTCAAGGTAGTATTTTGATTTGAAACAGTCAGTATTGCACTGCAGGTAGCCACTACGGTAGCACGATATTTGACTCCACTCCTCAATATAATCTACTTGTCTGGATGATTTTCCTTGATGAATATCTCCTGATTCTCCAGGCAAAGTTTTAGAGATAGAGACATAATCCTGCCCCTGTACAGAGCAATAGTAAGACCTTATCTGGAATATGCAGTTCACTTTTGGGCACCAGTTCACAAAAAGGATGTTGTGGAACTGGAGAAAGTACAGAGAAGGGCAACTAAACTCATAAGAGACATGGAGGAGCTCAGCTATGAGGAAAGATTAACTAACCTGAATTTGTTCAGGTTAGTGCAAAGTGCTGCCGAGGTCCCCAGCAAGGTCCCGGCAGCCTTCCTGTGAATTGTCGGCAGCAAATCTCCTCCTTCTTAAGGATCCACGCCGCCCGCACCCACCATAGAACCCGCACAACCACCTGAGAGTCTGCACAGCCCACCATAGAACCTGCACAGCCACCTGAGAGTCTGCACAGCCCACCATAAAACCTGCACAGCCACCTGAGAGTCTGCACAGCCCACCATAGAACCTGCACAGCCACCTGAGAGTCTGCACAGCCCACCATAGAACCTGCACAGCCACCTGAGAGTCTGCACAGCCCACCATAGAACCTGCACAGCCACCTGAGAGTCCTACAGCCCACCATAGAACCTGCACAGCCACCTGAGAGTCCTACAGCTCACCAAAGAACCTGCACATCCACCTGAGAGTCCGCACAGATAAACATAGAACCTCTACATTTATATAGTCTTACAGATACAACCGACCCTTTGAAGGCAAGCATAATGCTAATGCAATCCCTTGCTGAAATTGAGTTTGACTCCCCTGCTGTAGAATGGCACTTGAGTGACAGCTCTGAGTCTGCTGGGGCTGCTGATATCGCAACCAAGAGGGTGACATCCAACAGTAGTCTCAAGGCTTTGTATGTATACACAAGAGTAATTTACAGGTAAATATCATGCATAAAACATGGCTAAATACACATGTAAACAAACATTTATTCATATGGGGAAGATTGTTGTTAAAAATGTTCTGGTGACATAGTGTATTTTAGGTTATTGCAAATGACAAGGGGACACTCTTTATGCCTGGAGGTCTTCTTTTTTTTTGCCTTTCTTTGAACCCAGTGTGGTTTTAGGGTTTTGAAAGTGCTGGTGTTTAATAGGTGTATGTTTATTTGTTTGGCTTAAACTTGGTGGACATGTTTCTATGCTTACTAAATGGATGGTTTACATCTAAGTCCTGATGTTTGTTTATATATATATATATATATATATCAAATATTTAATGTGGCCATACTATTATTATAAGGCTGGTCTTTACACACCATAATGGTGTGTAAAATGGTTCAATATTGCATGCACCATTAAAGGAGCTTTATTATAGTATATAATAAGAAGGACAGCTTTATTGGGTGCCATAACTGGTGGAATATTAACATACCTTTGTTTCTTTTCATTTAAACCCAGAAAAGTCCGCAAGATGCTCTCATCCTCTGAAACCAAGCGAGCTGCCCGTCGGCCTTACAGAGATATAGTTATCTGTCAGTCTCAGGTGGGACTACCTATGCGTCACCCTGTCAATGATGAGCCAATTGTTATTGAGGACTAAAAATCATCTGAAGAGAGATAATCTGCTCGACTGTAGAAGATTCTTCTCATGATGATACTTGACTTTCGAAGTGTTGAGTTCACGAAAACTTTTTGCAGCTGTTTGCATCTTTTAAAAGATTCCATGCTTTGTAAAAGCATCAAAATCTAAAGACTTGTTAACGCTTTGGTTAATTTTTGTTAACCCAGTCATTTCCTCATAAATGTAGAATTTATATTTGTTGTTAGTACATTTTCTTTATTTTGGAATCTTTTTTTGACTGGTGTTCGCTAACTGCAAACAAAACGTAACTTGTTAAAAAGGACATTTTGACAGTTATGGTTTCGTGTTTGATTTCATTGCAATTACAAAAGATTCTAAAACTTTGTACACTTGAAAATGTATTATTATTGCTGATGCCTTTCTTTTTACAAGGTGTATTGATTTTACTTTTTGGAAGTGCCATTTTAATGTTTTTTTTTTCCCCCATTTATAGACGGAATAAAAACAAATCTAACTTATGGAATATAATTTTGAGGAAAGTGTCTGATAAGATATAATTGTGCTTCTTGTGCTATGGGATTAAATGTTTCCATACATAATGCATTCATTTTGGGATAAACTTAATGCATTCACATAGAAACCATTATGCCAAGATTTTTTACAATAAACTGTTCATATTTTAGTTTATATTTAAAATAAACCTCCGTTTTCACCAACCACCCATTTATTCACCAGTATTTTGGTCTGTTCTCTCTTTGTAACTTGAAGTGCTGTTAAATACCTTTTTTTGTACTATTACAGCTGTAAGATTTGTTATATGCACACCTGATATCTACAAGTTTGGGAACACTAAAAAGAAACATTATACAGTCAAAGGTAAAGAAATTAAGCAGGCCAGGATTTATGTGTATAATGAGTATTTCAGTGTCCGTTCTAGGTGCAACAGGGCCCATGGCAGATATCAAAATGGGGCACCCTGTGCTGTAGAACTTTGCATTACCACTTTACAAGTAAAATAGCCTGATTGATTCAGCCAAAATCAGAGCAGTGTCAACAGATGCAAAAAAGTGTGGGATGATGATTGCATGCTACCAGACAGTATCAGAAGAATTTCGTATTAGCAGAGGGATGGCTTGTTCTCAAAATATTTGCTAATATAACATCAAATAGAGTGATGCCTGTTGCCAGAATTTCATTGCCTGCGACACCTTGGAGAATAAAGCAACTGTCTGCAGATAGGGGATATGTAATGCTATGTGTATGTAATTTGCAGACGCCTTTGTGCTTCTGCAAATTAGGAATGCACCGATACTACTGTAGTATCTGTGCCGATACCGACTATTTGGGCTCGTACTCGATGCTTATCCCGATACCGTAACTTCCGGTATCAGGAAGCCAGGCGGCAAGTCATTACTATTAGTCATTCACCAGGGAGCATGGAGCTGGCTTACCGGCCAATTAGGAAGCCGGGGGGGTAATGACTCACCCTCCCTGGCTTCCTGATTGGGCGGGAAGCGGGCTCCATGCTCCCTCGCCACTTGGTAGCGAGGGACCATGGAGCCGGCTTTCCGGCCAATCTGGAAGTTGGGCGGCATGTAATGACTTGCTGCTCAACTTCCTGATTGGTCGGAAAGCTGGCCAATCAGGAAGCTGGGTGGTAAGTCATTACCCGCTCCCCGGCTTTCTGATTGGCCCGAAAGCCAGGTCCATGCTTCCTGGTGACCAGGGAGCATGGAGCCAGCTTTCTGGCTAATCAAGATGCCGGGCAGCGAGTCATTACACGTTGCCCGGCTTCCTTAATGGGACTTCCGATATCGGTATTGGCGAATACCGAAAAATAACATTTCGGTACTCGATGCCGAACAAACGGTATTGGTACATCTCTACTGGAAATAATCATCCACCCATAGCTACTGCTGTTTGCAGAAGAGAGCTGCAATGTCTCACCAGCGAGTTCTTCAGCAGTATAGCTCATCAAACTTTGTCAGAATCTTTATTGTTACATCTGCCCCAGTTTGTGATCAACAGTACCTTTGCAGAATTTATTCTTGATGCCACAATATACAGCAACTGAAATATTTACAAAAAGTACTTTAAAAAGTACTTTTGAAAGCAGTCTTTGAGCTCCAGGCACTCAGCTGTGCCTAAGCTGAGAGGTGCCATCTGGCAGAATTTTGTCATCAATGGCCTTCTTGGTAGTAAGGAAGTGAGGGCATTGTCAGGATCACACAAATACCACCATATCCCCAATGAAGTAGGGCTTCTGTATAGTTATCAAATGAACATGCCGTGCTTGATAGCTAATTATTCTTAATTCTTTTGCATTTTTTAAATAAAGTACACTTCTTCTCCTGGGTATTTTTGTGGACAATAAAAGCACTTGTTAACTATAAACATCTCTGATGCACCTTTTTTCCCATCATTTCATGTGTGTACACATTTGAGAATTGATTTGATTCTGGGTACACTTGGTAAAAACTACTAATGAGTATGTGTATATCTCAACAAATCCAGATGACAGATCATGATTTCTATAGAACCATGTTTGATAGCATAGCTCCTATGGTATGATTTTCACTGCACCAAGCATCTATCATGTCTCAAGAACACATTCTGTCTCTTGATCATACATCACAGGACACAGGGAGTTTATTCTTCAACAAATGGACTCTTGCAAAACGAAAGCTGTAAGACGGCCTAGGACAGTGATGGCGAACCTTGGGACTCCAGCTGTTTTGGAACTACAAGTCCCATGAGGCATTGCAAGGCTCTGACAGCCACAGACATAACTCCCAGAGGCAGATGCATGTTGGGATATGTAGTTTTGGCACAGCTGGAGTGCCAAGGTTCGCCACCACTGGCCTAGGATAACCCATCTCACTACCAGCGTGACTTGATTTTTTGTTATCATCCTTAAGTGATGGATGCCTGTACTCTGCTCTGAGAGAAGTACATCCTTTTTTTGCACTTTCCTGCTGAAGATTCCAGCACATTTCCCTAAGCTGCTCACAGGCACTATGGCACCTAACAGCAGCTCTCTGGATTGTTTTTTTTTTTCTGGGCAGAGCCTTAGTGGACCATACCCAGAACCTGCCAGAAAGAATATGTGGAGCAGGCCTGTAATAAGCTTAGGGCACTGGATCCAGTGTGAGACGCTCTCCTTGGTATTTTATACAGCGTGTGAGTTGCCACAGGGTACTTTACAAGTCCAGAGCCATTGTCCATTGTGGTGGACCCCTTCCCTTAAGACCCCTTTCAGGGAATATACCAACTGGAGGGCAAAGATTGGAAGGGATATGTCCACATCCAAGTGACTACACTGCTGAGTCAGCCACCACTTTGAGGGTGGCATGTCAAGGCTTGTCCCTGCCAGGTGCCCAGTTTCTCCCCCTTCCCCATGGGTCACTGTTGGGGATCCCTCAGCAGAGAGGGTTCACTGTCCCTCAATTTTTTTAATGCAACACCTTTCCCTGAGATTATGTGGAGGCTGCATGGTGTCTGTGCAGCCTCCGTCTGGGGATTCCTACTATTTACTAATTTTGTTTTCTGGCGCCTGCTGAGCTGGCTACACAGGCTGTCCTGCTGCTACGACTCTGCAAGCTGCTCTCTACAGACCGATGTGCTGGGTTACTGCTGCTGCCTATGGTGTTGGCTTACCTAGCATCATTGTATACTACCCTGGGGACAAGAACACCATCTTTTCTAAAATGCTCTGCTCCCTCCTTCAAGTAGGATTCCTTTTGTCTCTCCCAAGCCTCTGGATCAAAATTAAAGACTGGCTCTCATTTTTGTTGTATGTTCTGGCCCTTCAAGCTGGCTAAACCCAGGGGGGAAAAAAAAACCATTTTCATAATGAAGGTGGTGCCCCCTGTTGCACAAGTAGAGGGACATCTTTCAGCGTTGTCCACTTCTTTAGTCCTGGACATTCATGAAGCCTGGATCCAGAGCGTTGTATCCCAGGGTTACATGTTGGAGTTTAGCTCTCTACCACCTCCTCACTTTCTGCTGTCAAACTTTTGTTGAGTGTGTTCTGATCAACTAAGTGTGCTGCTGTTGTCCCTTATTTCCGCGTATGATCCTGGCTCAAATCCACTGATCTTCTGGTTCCTGACTCCAGTTTTGTTTCCATACATCCTGCTCTCCAAGCTCCCTGACCTGCTTTGGCTGACTACCTGTTTTGGCATCTGACCCCTGTTTGGCACTGACCATGTCCTGGACCTTCTCTATTGTTTCTGCCATTTATGTTTATTGTTGTTTTCGATAAACTCATTTTATATTTTAAAATGCACTTTAAGTTTCAGTCTATGTTCTTGTTTCCCTAACAACTCTGTCATCACCTCCTTTCACCCAGCAGACTTTCTGGTGTCAGTGGACAAATGGGATGCATATTTGCACATCCCAATTTTTCCTGCCCATCAAGGCTACCTGCAGTTTGCTGTGGATATGCAACAATACCAAATTTGTTGCCCATCTGTCTAACCTCATCACTTGTTTGCCTGATGAAGGGGATCCTGTGAGACCCCGAAACATTGCACCTAGTGTTCTTGCTATGCAACATGTACGTGAATAAATAGGCATACCTGGCTTGCCTTGGAGTGCCGGTGTCCATCTCTGTATATTTTTGTGGTAGCCATCACTGATGGAGCAGCGGTTCTGAGTGCAATGGGTATATGGACTTTATCTTCTGTCTATCCTGTCTACTGTGTCTTAGATATTCACTAAGATGATGGCCCATGTGTTAGCGTTGCTTCAGTCTTAGGGCATCCTCATAGTGGGGTACCTGGACAACCTCCAAAAACAGTCGGTGGAGGGCTTTTCATCCAACATTCATCAGACGATACAAACCCTGGAGCTATAGATGCCCCCTGAATCTCCAGAAGTTGATGCTGGAACCCTCCCATCTCTTGGTGTACTTGGGACTGGTCTTGGACACAGCCTTGTCCTAGGGGTCTTCCTTCCCCTAGAAAAGATCCCATCTCTCCTCTCTCATGCTCACACACATTGCGCCCCAGGAGTTGCCCAACTGTTTCTTTTGCATGAAGGTGCTAGGCTTAATATTAACCCCCTTCAAGGCAGTTCACAATGCTCAGTTTCACTCCAGACCATAGTTTCATAACATTCTGGTTGTGGTTGCTTGGGGAAAACCAACCAACTTAGTCCCTGGACCTCTCCATTCCCTTGCCCAGCAAGACAAAGCTTGTCCTAACATGGCAGATCTCTAGCCCATGGGGCCACCAGCTAACCTCATCTCATTAAATTATTGCCAGATTAATCTGGCAAATTATCACTAGGGCCTATGAGCACAAGGTTAAAGTTCCCCATTTTCTGTTTAGGGCTCACTCCACTAGGACCGTTAGTATTTGGACCTTCAGCATCAGGAGTCAAGTTTTCTGTTCCTCTGTTCAAACTTTTGCCAAGTTTTACCAGATGGATGTTTAGGCTTCTGCAAATGCTAGCTTCGAGTAGAAAATATTTTGACCTGTATCTGGATATTTAGGTGCCACACCCCTGGTAAATAGTATGCAAAAAAATTTCTTTTAAAGAAAGAAGAAGTGGGGTTTTGAAAGCACCAGAAAATGACAACTCCAACCACAATATGTAAAAATATATTAGTTTATTTCATATAAATCCTAAAAAAAGAAACAAAGGCTTACAGCCAATGATAAAATTGAGTAAATAGTCCCTAACACAGCTCTTTCCACATACACAATACCTCA